ATTGGACTCTACTACTGAAATCTTTTTGAGTTAGTTATAGTAGAGGTTTGACGGCACTCGCAACTGCATAAGGTCATATGAGCGCCAGAAGATTAGAGGTGTTACAAGAGAGTAACAAACATAAAAAAGAAGAAGGGGAGACAAGGATGATAGATGCTTGATAGGAAAGAAGAAGCAAACCACACCAGAGCACCCGCCAACCACCCACTACTGAAATCTGCACCCTGGTGAAGTTTAAACCGCTGAGTACATTGTGTGTTCGACCTGAAGTGGTCATTTTTAAAGGAATTTTTTAGTGTTCTGATTCGCTTTGATCCGAACTGACTGAACTTCTCCTCCCATGACCTCAAAGGTCTTAAGGGCACCCAAGCATTCTCTCCTTGCCGTGCGCAGAACTTACGATATGTCAAGGATGGTGAGTTTGTGGAGAGGTAATGTACAATACAAAAAGCTATCTGCTCTTTACCAAATTTAACCATGATCTTAGTAGGCAAACGACAATTGGGAAAAATAATATCTGCAGACTTCTGTTGACTTGCTAGACTGCTGTAGTTTGCAATACAACGCGATCATTGCATCTTTTAGTGGTGGGCCTAATGTAAACTGGTGCGTCATGCTACGAAAATGCCAACAAGGTAGAACATGGGTTGTTTTTTAAGTTTACCATGTAGAGTGTAGAGCAACACCATTCAATTGTCTTATCTAAAATGAATAATAGAAAAAAACCTTTTGGTTTCCGAATGTTGTGTTCAAATCTGAAACGCAAAACTTCAGTATAGTGGAAGATATTGACAAAACAAGTTATACAGTTGTTGTTTTTTTTATCACACTGTATATATATTTTTACGTCATGTATTTCTGAAAGGGAACGCAGATCATATATGGGACAAAGGGATGTGTAATTATATAAAACGAGAGTCAGAAAGAGAGAGAGAGAAGGAGAGAGAGAAGGAGAGAGAGAGAGAGAGCAAGAGAGAGACAGAGAGAGAGGGGGAGGGAGGGGGATACAAAGGAAAGAGAGAGACAGAGAGAAAGAGAGATAGAGAGATAGATAGATAGATAGATAGAGAGAGAGAGAGAGAGAGAGAGAGAGAGAAAGAGAGAGGGAGAGAGAGAGAGAAACAGTTGCTACCAGTACTGTTCGTGTTCTCGCAGCTGAATGATTTATCTATATTCACGTCATATCTCCCTGAATGGCAACTCGGATCATGCGTAATGCTTTTTTTGTTTTACCAAATGAACTTTTTCAACTTTATTAATCATCTTTCCATTTGAAAAAAAACAAACAACAAAAACGCTTTTTTTTGTTCTTTTTTTTTCCAAAGTCGCGAACAGGTTGTGCATAGAATATATTGCGTTGACTACATTCATTTCCCTGTCATTGTTTCGTGTCAAGGCAAACTGTATTGTAAACTTTCATTTCCGCCACTTCAACCACAGGCTGAAATCATGAAAGGTACAGGGTTGATGAAGGCTAAGCAAAAACACTGAATACTGTGTCGTAATAAGGAAAGAACTTCTGTCTAACTATGGTACAAAACGTCATTTCAATAATCAGTTTTTAAAAAAATGTTCCGTCCATTGATCTGATACGGATTACTTTAAGTAAGGGAGGGCTGCAACAAACATATCTGTCAGGGCCAATTCAGGAAGAGACGAGCAGATAGACAGACACAATATGTTATATAAGAATCCCAACACGGGATCCAAACCCACGTTTTCTGCGAGTAACACGAAGCTTCTAACAATTACATAACAGACCTTGGTTCTCCCGAAATAGACACTACGTAGACAAAAGAATCAACATGATGATGAGTATATATTTTATTTTTTTTGTTTCGGACCGCGCTTACAACATAATAAGGTCATATTTTATTAGCGTGTGGGACACATTAAACATTTTCA